GATGCTTAGTCTCGCACTGATCGCATTGGAGATGATCATAGTCTCGCACCGATCGCATTGGAGATGCTGAGAAAATAATGATCATGACCACGTGATACCACGGTCATGGTGACCACTTAGGACATGGAAATTCACCCTACGCATCACATGTGGTATTTCATCGGCCACGTAAAACGCACAGACATTCTACGATTGTCAAGTTGTTTCACAGAGTCGAGAGGGAGCACATCACAAAAATCTCCCTCATGAGTCACATGACGTCCTCTCCGCCTGGTAGACACAGATGCGAGGCTGCGATTTTCCTACGTGCATAGCAACATCATCAACATTGCAGCCAGCACTGAGCAGCGCGCTACGTACAGCGTACTGTCTGCTGCTAGCCACCCCTCGACGAATCTCGACCTTCGATTGCGACCCTACCACCCAGTCTTCAGCTTTCTCCCATTGATTCGACCATCGGACTTGACAGATGGTGGTTGCAAATGAAGCGGCAATGGAAAGAAGTGGAAACGAAGTGGAAATAATTCGTTCAAGTGGTCGTGTATTATTTGTAAATACTAGTCCACAAAACAATCAAATAATTCAGAAAATGCCAAACGAAACATGTCCAAGTTATATGAATCATAAATGGATTGGAGGTTTTTTAACCAATTGGAAGCACAATTTTTAATGTACAAGCGCATTTTCAGCACTTTGAAAATCCAGTGGCTGCAATGTCTTTGCGAAGGCAGCAATATTGTGGCCACCACGAAATACTTCGAGTCTTCGACTTTTCTTACCATTGATTCGATCATAGTGTTCGTGAACATACAGTGGGCTGCAATGTTGCCGAGATGCCAGCGAACATCGCAGCGACGTTGCGTTCACCATGCAGTAATTTCACCCACGTTTTCTTATTTAAACCACATCGACGGTATACTCGCTCCCTGCTCTTCGATTCCCCTTCCGACGTTGTCTTCTCTGATCTCGACACATGAGAAATGCTGAGAACTGCCATCATCAGATGGGCACTGTCGTTTACGACGAGCACCGTTATCAACCGTACGCTCGCCGCACTGCTCTTTGCTAACCTTCCCCACCTCGGATGTAAGATGTTGAGAGCTATCGTAATGACACGGGAGACGCTGAGAACTGTCCTCATGTCATCTAATGTGGTCTGCCAGCAAGGTTACGGCTGCCACACAGCAATATTGCGGTGACCTCCCGTCATAACATCACCGAAGCACCAGCAAGAAGAAGGGTCTCACCTTTTGAAAACACTCCGCTTATGGAATGTTCGGTTTCGATTTCGGAAGACGCGCGAAAAAAAAGTGACGTCTGGAAAAAAAAACAATCCCAATCTCCCGTCGACCATGTGTCCTCTCACCACCGCGTTAACCCCGATTCCTATGCCCGCGTCATTAGATGATGGAAATGCGCCCAGCACCTTATTGCAAAGCACGCGCCCAGCACCTTATTGCAAAGCACTTCCATTTTTTGGAACGAAATCGGGAAAACTGTTGTGGACTCGATTGTCACTGAGGTAGTTGAATCCGATGATGGAAATGCCTGCAGTTCGTTTTGGTAAGTCGACATACATTTTGACGGGTTCCTTCCCGAGCACTGTGTCGGCACAGACGGTACCAGTCGTTCCAAATCCGTGGGTTACCAGTGCCTTTCCACTCAACGAGCATCCAAATCCAATCTGAGTGCCACCGTGCCAGTGCCACACCTTATGGGTCGCTTGCAGGTCGTGGCAAGGCGTGAGTTTTCTGGCCAGTCCCTCTCCCACCTCTCTCTCTCTCTCTCCCTCGCATGGCTAGTAGGTGGCGCAATTTCCGGTGAAAGTTTCACAGAAATTGCCATATTTCCCCGAAATGTTGGCTATTTGTTTTTGGTGATATGCATGTTCTGAATTCTGTATTCCGTTTCGACATGTAGTAATGAAAAAGTTGGGAAAAACACCCAAGTCGGAGAAAAATTGGCTAACTCTGAAAGCTAACACGAATAGTGTTTTATAGTGTTTTTGAGTTTTTTTTTGGTTTTCTTTTGCATGTTTTCTTTGTTTTAGTGTTTGTATTATACCACGAGTACCTCTGCCAGTGTTGAGAACCGAAGAGATGGGAGGTACAAACATTTACATAATGTGCAATGTTTTTGAATTTTATTTTGGGGAAATTCGATGGTCACCTGAGGCAAAAGAAGTCCCTGCATAACATTTTTTCTTGTGGAGGGTATTTTATATTTTATTTTTTTGGCTTGGAGCTTCTGACCGAGTTAACACAGTTGAACCAGAGCATTGTCCCACTAGCAACGGGATAGGATAGAAAAGAGTTTGTGTGGCAGTCGAGTGACCCAAATCCGGCCGTGCAGTACTCGTGATCCCACGGTCAGTATTTCACATGTATTACCCGAAAGAGTAAGGAGATCTTTGTTCGCGTCCTCCTCTCCTTAACACTGGGCACGCGGGTGTAAAGGAAGCTTCCCGCCAAAATCTTTTCAATCCGTTGGGCGTATGTCCAACACGAAAAGAGGGTGGGATCAACCATAGGCCCACTGGATAGGAGGTTTTCAGTATTTTTTGCTTGCTGTTGGGCAATTATATCATATTGGGTGGAGCCCCCCTTCAATCACGGAGTATATGGAGGACGTCATCCTCACTGCTGACATACGTCGGGTTTATTCCAGAAAATGTGGCATTTACTAGGTTCACTGTTGTTGCAACCACCACCATCAGATCGTTAGTGATCTGTTGGCTGGGAAGCACTCTGCCATGGTTTCCGGGGCCTTGTCCGGCTAGGTTCGGTTTTGTTTCGTTTGTCAGTGTGTGACATCGGTGCTTACTGCAGATCATGATTTCATTGCTCGGTCAGGAATTGCGGAGGTAGTTGGGGCATTTTTTTAATGGCATGCACGGCCTAGAGTCGGTCTGTCATTGGCAGGCTTTTTGGTTTATGAATTGGGAGGGCGGGTAGCAGGGTTCTGGTTTCTTGCATGCTATGGAGTATGCAAGAAACGAGAACCTTATCTCTGTACGTCGGGGGGATTCCGTCCCAATGAAACGAAAAGAATACACACACACACACGCACAGAGTTGTGCTTTGTTTCAGTGTATAGGGAATATGACAACGCGCACACACATAAAAAACAACCACAAACGAGTAACCTCTGAGTACACACACACATAAAAAACAACAACGAACGAGTAACCTCTGAGTATGCACGTAAAATATTTGCCAAAAGAAAGTACAACGAGACGCATGGCCGTGATAATGCATGGACCACGATGCTGCCCACCCTAATGCTTTCTGCTGTTCTATCCACACAATCCTCCCCATCCAGGGACCCGTCCACGGCAGGTATGGAAGCGACCACCAGAGCTGTTGCGGTACCAGGAAAACGGGACAG